CTGCTGAGGGGAGCAGCGGGCGGGTCAGGAGAGGTCTGCCACGCCATGTGGTCTCCTCCGGGGCAGGCGGGAATCGAACTCATGCGGAAGCGGCTTTTAGATTCTCAGTGCTGTGCTTTAACCCGCTGCGCCACCAGGGAGGGCCCGCAAGGCGTTTTTGTTGTAAGGATTAGATGAGAAAACCAGAGAAGCAGTTAGTGTTTACTGATGAGAGAAGTATTTAAAAAAAAATCAGAAATCAGGGCCCTCCCTGGTGGTACAAGAGGTTATGACGTTGCACTATGAAGTTCTCTGCAGCCATTGTGCAGGAGTTTGATCCCCTGCCAGGGAGGTGACCCATTGCTCCCCTCCACAGTGTGTTTCAGTACATCTGCCTGTTCTGCTCCCCACTCTGTCTCTGGTGAATCCTTTTACCCCATACCTCATTTATTCGTTCCTGTATAAAGTTCCAAATGAGAATTTTTAGAATCCTATAACTCAATTTAAGGAAAAGTTACATTTTTCCTAAGACTGCATTTCCTTTTTCCAAATAGTTTGCTAGAATTTCTCAGATACTCAGATCCATATTTAAAATTTATTTTGTGGTCTGTTGGTTTAGTTTTTGTATTTGTTCTTCTGACTTTCAGTTTTCTGATTGTTTTGTGCTAATAAATCTGTTGTGAAGAGAGGTATAGGGTGTTGTGTATATTTAGGTAACAGGGAACACTCAGTCAATATATAAAGCTTGGAAATTATTTGCCCAGTATTGTATTATTTAAACTGCTCTGAACAGTTTGCAGATGGATTTAGAACACCCTATTCTTAAAATGTTTTCACATGCCTATACATATTTGATTGAAATTTAAGCTGACTGTTAGAGAAATGGTCAGTGTCTGCCTCTTTAAAGGCAGGGTAGTGAGCCACCCATTATGAATGGTTTGAACATTTGCCTTTCATTTGATTCTACAAATGAATTAAGTTTTTCTGATTGTAGGGTCAAGGGGAGAAACATTTAGAAGATACCACAGGAAAGTATTAGAGAAAACATTAATGCAACACAGTCCTTAGGCTTGTTAGTTTTAATGAATGTAGCTACCTGAGAAAATTCATTTTCTAAATCTTGCTAATTTGGAACATTTGCTATATCACTTGTAGAAGATGAAATGTTTTACATATTGCTGTGATAAATTTGAGAAAGCAGATGTCTATGAACCTGAAAACCCCAAATTACCATAGAAATTTCAAAAGCTTTAAACTAACCCAGTGATTATCTTGTCTAATCATCTCATTTTATAGATGGAAGAACTTAGGGCAAGGAGCACTTAATGGCTTGCTGGAATGACAGGCACTTTGTAACCCTTGGTATCTTGTGTGGACACACTGTTCCTGTGTGATATGCTTGCTCTTCCCTGCCTTGCAGCTTCAGTCTCTCTCTCTCTCTTTCTGAGTTAATTTTTTTTCAATAATATAGTAGTTTTCTTTCTCTTTTTAAACAAGTTTGCATTTACTAAGTTTATCTTATGTACCAGTTACTGTACATGTGAGGTAAGCAAGCCAAAGCAGCAATGGCCTCCCAGAGAGTGGTGGGCTGTCATTTTATATTGCTAGATGATCAGGGATGGCTTCTCAGAACAGGTGAATTTTTCAGAAGAAATTTGAGTGAAGCAAAGGAAACAAATCATGAATATCTAAAGGACATTCCAGGCAGAAAAAACAACAAGCTTCAGACTTTGAACTGGGAACATAATTGACCTGTTACAGGAACAGCCAGGAGGCCAGGGTGGCTGGAAGGCAGTAAGCAATGAAGAGAAAATGGCAAGAGATAGGGATGCCCAAGGGAAACGTGTAGGACTTTGGATTTTATAGGGAGAATGATGGGGAGCTTTTTGAAGCTTGAGAATTGAAAAGAAACACAACCTAGTTTTCTATTTGAAAAAGATTCTTCTAGTTGCTGTATAGAGAATAGACTATGGACGCAAGAACAGAAGGGAGACCAAGTAGGAGGCTATAGTAGTAATCCAGGCAAGAAAGGGTGATGGCTCAGTACAGGTTGGTAGTGATGGATGAAGGAGAGGAGTGACTGGATCACAAGTGTGCAACTTCTTAAAATGGGGCAAATGTTACTCAGCTACGATTCCAGGGTATAGCAGAGAATCTAGTTCGTAGTTGGTAAATTGTTTTGAGTGAATAAGACCAAACAAATGCAGCATTCTTGTCTCTTTGTCACACACTGTGTGGCCATTGAAAGGCTTTAAAAAATGTCTTCAGGGTAATCTTAGCATTACTACCCATAGACCATTTTAGTGTTCCTTAACCCAGGGCCAGCCTGCTTCCATTGTTTATAGGTTCAGCCCAAGCCAGCTAATATGTATCTAGAGAGGCTAAAATTATGCTAGAGAAGACAATTGGTTAGATAAACAGTAAGAAAGGACCTATTTGCCTTTATGTAGGTAAAGATTTAAACTCCCATTCTGCAAACTCAAGTTATATAGCAGTAAGGATTTACATTTAAAAAGCATTTTATATTTTAAGGTTTATGTTTATATATTTACAACCACTCCATGATGCTCTTCCCATTTTAGGTAGGAGACTTAAAAAAGTTAAATAACTTATTTATAAAACAGCCAGCAGGTTGCACCTCACCTAAATCAGGTGATCTCCGTTAGCTTATAACAGAGGAATCAGGTAAGAAACTCGTAGATTTAATAAGGGGTAGTAAATAACTGTAGTAGGATAAAGCACAGGATTAAGTTTGGTTGTATATAAAACCAAATTGTATATATAATTGCTAATACATACAGTAAAATAAATATTCTACTAATCTTCTAGCATTTGCCTGAGTATATAATCCATGTTTCCCTAGTTTGGAAAGTGGACTTAAATTCAAATGGCATGCAGTGTATTAAATTTACTTGTTATTGATAGACGTCAAAATCTATAACATGTGCCGTCTCTAAGATGTCTTCCACAGATTTAGAGTTTTAGCTTTCTAATGTTATTTTCTAAACGTGAAGTGATTACATTTATTTTGCAAGAACTTAAGTCATAATTTTACCTTTCCAAAGGGAACTAGACTTGCTAGTGTCATACAGTTAGGGGAATACCTATGGAAAGATAAGATTTGGTCCCAAGGAACTCCAGAATTTTAGAGTTACCTAATTTAGTCAGACTCTTACTCTTGGGTTATGATAAAGTTGGAAGTAATTATACCATCACACTTAGAGGAGGCAAGAATGGAAATACCACAGCCCTCTGAAATAAAAGATGATTTTTCTTCTGTTGTGGACTTCTCATGCTTTAGTAACTTATTTCTTCTTTTTGAAATATGTGTTTGAACAAGTGAGAAAGTATACCTGTCAAAAGATTAACCAGCTGAAAACCATTGTCAGCATTAATTTTCCTTTAATAAATGACTTTCTGAAGCTATTTAGCAATCTGTAATCTAGATATAAAGCTATGGATCTATGATGGATAGTGCTGGATTTGTTTGTAAACTTTGACTTAAATAATCTACTTAATTCTCTAGGTCAGATTAACCAGGTTAGGAGTAAGGATGCTCATGTGGTTTCAATAAAAATGACTATACAAATTGAGCAAAATCATTGTAAAACATTAATGACCTACAGTCTTAGTATAATAAATTAGGGACTAGCAACACAATAGTTACTTAAACTTCAGAGTTGCCAGAATATTCAATTCAACTAAAAGCATTTGTTATAATTGTGATTTTCATCCATAACTCCAAATGTGGCTGAAAATGTGAAATAATGTAACTTAGCCATATGTGTGAGCATTTTAGGCTTTTATAAGGAAGGCATTCCTTCTTCCAAGTTTGTTTAACTAACATAATGCTGACTTATTTTTGGCTTTTAATAAGTAGTTAAAAATAGCATGTACTGTAAAATAGAACGGCCACTTGACTTGGCAATAGTAAAATGTTCACAATTTGAGTGAAAAATGGAGAGAATGACCTCTCCACTTGGGCTTTTTATATATAAAAAAAATATTTCATTGAAATTCAAAAGTAGAGCATTGCATACAACTATCTATTCGAATGACCAGGTTTCATATAGTTCAAGTAATTACAGTTTCTTTATTCCTAGCTGCACTATAAAATAAGGTATAAAGGCAAAAATTTCACTAATTCCACATACTTTCCTTGTTTTGATCAATAAAACCTAACTTGAAAATTATGAATTAAGGTTTCTTTAATAAAATAATAATAACAATAACAATAATAATAATGCTCAGTTTCATTTTATAGTTAGTAAGTTTCTAGATGAGTGAAATCTAACCTCCACCCCTTTTTTGGACCAGACTAGGTAGGCCATGTTTTCTGGCTAAAGTAGAAGTTGTTTCTTCAACCATTTTAATCAGTGAACATGTGAAAAAAAAATTGTTAAAAACTGCTGAGGAGTAGCCAAACTAAACTATTTCTTCTGCTCCTATCACTGGGAGTGAATTGCCCCAAAGGTATATTCAGGAGGAAAAAAGAAAAACCAAATATTATTGTAAAATGTACATAACCAGTATAAATTAGCCTTTACCTTACAAAAGAATCTTGCCCTCTGAAATGCTTACTAGTTTCTGAGAGAAAGAGTGAGATCTCTGTAGAGACCCCCTAGACAGCAGTGACGAGTAATGAAGGAATCCCCTCTGGCTGCTCCCTGCTGGCCAGGGCACAGATAACCTCTTGTATTCTTGCTATTTGTGAATAGTTATCGTAGGAGCATAGTAGATACACAGGAATAACAAAACACACACTTCAAATTCCCATATCTGGCATGTCAGATTGTACCAAGCAACTGAAAACTGAGAATGAGAGTATGAATGAACCTGTCTGACCCTTTTGGTTTATGATCATACTGCTTGCTATTTGATTATTAAGGTATTTCAGGGCAGATTTAGAGTATCTTGGATATGGTTTCATTTGGCCTGGGAGGGTAGTCTAATTTTACTGTCTGCTTAAGTATGTGAAGAAATGTGTCTTACTTCTGTCCCCTTACCTCCAAACCATTCAGGTGTGGGAGCTGCTCGGTCTGGGAACCTCACGTTTATGGTGGGAGGAGTAGAAGAAGAATTTGCTGCTGCCAAAGAATTGCTCGCCTGTATGGGCTCCAATGTCGTGTATTGTGGAGCTGTTGGGACTGGGCAGGTAACATTTTCACATTATTGACCTTGACTTAATTGATATAAAATTGACAATTGTTCATTTCTCTTGCCTGGCCACATTGTTATTCTTTCTTACAGTGTTCAATATATGAATTCATGTTGCTCAGATTTTTCTTAAATTAATTTGAAATAAATTAGATTTCCACCATTTCTTTTAGAATGAAGCAGACATCAGCCATACATTTATTTTTTAAAAAATAGTGAAAGTTTCATCTTTCAGATTTTGACATATCATCTCATCACTGCTGAAATCATTAAATCAAGTTAAAACTACTGTTTGAAGTGCCGAGTTGTTGCTTAGCTGTTGTCCTCCACCTACTTTTGTAGCTATTTGCTACAGCACTGTTTACAGTATTAACCTATGCACTTCAATATTTTTCTTTAAAACCCAATAATTTTTATTTAGAAATACGCTGTATCACTGCCCTAAACAGATAGGGGTGTACAACAGTGCTGAACTTTGAAATGAAACTAGTTGCTCCCCTCCCTCACGCAGCCCTCACAAGCACATTCACTCACTTCTCTTAATGCCTGTTCCTGGTCACTGGCACCCTCTAGACCTCATTCATGACTTTAGTATTATCTCAGATCTATTATCTCCAGTCCCTTGTCCAGTCAGTCTCCAGATTCAATTGATTTCAGTGACCCTGTGTGCCAGGTTTACTACTCTGCTCAGCACTGTATCCAAAAACAACTTGTGTGATCACAGTGTTACAGGGTAGGGAGAAGGGCACACCACGTTACCCATCCCTCGTGGGTAAAAGTCTACCCAAAAGGGATTGGCACAAAGCAAAGCCTCATCTGCCACAAGTCTGGCAGGGACCCATGAAAAGGATCAGAAATGGCCAGACAAGTCTGGTTGGAAAAGAACAACATCAAAATCAACATGAAGGCTGCTATAGTAGTCAACCTTCCCACCTGTCTCTCACCCACATCTGTTTCAACCAGTCCAGGACCAAGAAACAAGAGTCACTTCTATACATGTCTCTCCACTGCGTGTGCCTCCCCAGGTCTTCTGGCTCTACATACTGCTTCTTTCCTCCTCTCAGCTCTACCCTCTGTTGAGTGAGGCAGGAAACCTGGAACCTCCCCTTTTCCTGGGGACCACACTGTAGTTACAACAGTGTTTCCCAATTCTGAAACTTGAACTATAACCCTATTTCCCACCATGCAAATTTAGCTCTCCACCCTACCTTACGTAGCACCTACTTTCTTACCATTCCCTAAAACATATGCACATGGCCCATTTTCTTACTTCTTTCAGGAATACCCTGTGTTGTATTTAATCACTCTTACATAGTTACCATTTCTGATTTCACTTCTCTGCCTGACCCTGTGGTCTTTCTTTTATGACTGAAATCATACATATCTTGCCACTTACTTGTTTTGTTTGTTGCCTTTGCATTCTCTGTGTTACTATCTTTCTAGAATGTGCACCCTTTCCCTTAAAGAGATACAAATCTTTCTTTACCTATTTACTTTTACCTACCTGTACCAAGCTTACAGGACGAGATTGGTCACCACTTTGGGGTTCTTACCTACTGAAAGAGACCCCCAATCTGGCATGGCACACAGCATGTTAGACTCTGAGAGGGAGACATACAACCTCCCTGTTCTTTTCCCTGCTTGAGAGAATCAGCAATTGAGTGCTCTTTATTTTTAAGAAATTTCCAGGGAAAATGTGGAGTTAATTGAAAAAGTTCCAATGAGTTATATATAGCTTGAAAATAAAGATATTTAATATGTACTTAATTTATTTTCAGGCAGCAAAGATCTGCAACAACATGTTGTTAGCTATTAGTATGATTGGAACAGCTGAAGCTATGAATCTTGGAATCAGGTTTGTTGAATTTTCATATATTGACAGTTTTTACAAGCTTTACTACTTCATGTTCTGATGTTGGAAAAAAATTGTTCATGAGAGATAAATGAATTGGGCTAGGAACATTTTGGAAGTACTTCATTATTGAACTTTAATAGACTTTTGCTTATTTGATGACCAACAGGACCCTGGAGAGCAAGAACTCTCTTTGCCTAGCCATAAAATGGATTGTGTTGTATATTTGAAGCTACATTATCCTTTTTAAGTAGAAACTGGTTTTTTTTTGTTATGTTGAAATGCAAGGAACACCTTCACTGTAAAATTTAAACATACATTGATTGGCAATGTAGGACAAATCTGTACAAAACGCCAGTTTTAATGTGTTAAATAGCAAAAATCTCACAGTTAATTTTAAAGATCTAACTGGTTTTACTAGTCATTTCATGAATCAGATAGCATCCCTCCTGGCAAGTACATGGACACTGTAAGAAATTGTATAAAATGGGAGATTTTTATAGCTAGAAAGAGGGCTTCAAAAGAAATGGATTCTTCAGGGGAGGATTACTAGGTGGGGTCTTACCCTGCAGATTACCTACCTCACTAGTTTAACTCCATTTGGGGCCTGTTTCTTTCTTTCTTTTCTGTGTGTGTGTGTGTGTGTGTGTTTTTCTTAATATAATATAATAGTTTGTTTTTACATCATTTTGTATATATATTTTTCCATCTCAGTTGTAATTCCTGTGGGTTTCCCATCACCGAGTCACCCCTTTTCTGTTTTTTAAACAAATTCATAGTAATGACTTAAAGAGTTATGTTACCATGTAACTGCTACTTTATTTTCAACATAATTACCCAAATCTGCACTGACAGGGCTCTTGGTTGTTTATTCTCAGGTTAAACTGGATGGTATTCTTAAACCTGCGACTCATTTGCATAACTCATTCATTTTAACTTGCCTGTGATTTTGTTACTTTCCACTAAAATATAGCTTCCCATTAAAACAAAATGGCATTCATTCTTGCTTAAAGGGATTCAAGACTTCTGTTTTTCCTATGATGATCATCCTTTAGAATGTTTAAGGTTAATGTTTTAATTTTAACCTTTAATCTTTTGGGTTAAGAATGCTATTTATGATTAATTACCTAATTAATTTTTTGAAAGTTTTGTATTTCATGAATATAATAAATATACCTTTTACTATAGAAAATGCTTAATGAGCAAGTTGCTTCATTCAGGTGTTTTCTTAATAGTTCCCAAAACTACTTAACAAAAACCACAAGTCAGTGTACTGTTCATACCTCAGCTTTTGATAAAAGCAATAAAGAGAGACAAAGTACTTGGTATTTTTTAAAGCACAGTAATGGATTCAATTTCCTCTTAATTACCATATCAAGATGCTGTTGTTTTATTGAATTGCCCTTGTCTCAGATGTTAAACTATCTTGACCTATTAAGTTGTCATGTTGTAATTGAGATAAAAGGAATTTGCTTTGTATCAGCGCTAATTGGTTTATCAATATCCTGTACCATTTACATTTTAAAATTAAATGTCTGTAAGATAGTAAGGCATATCTGTACAAAGCCTTAGTAAAACTGGTAGTAAGTATATAGGAAGCTGATCAGAGTGTATGGTAGCCAGTTTTAAGTAATAAGTCACTTATAATTGATATACTGGTTACTAGTAAACTTGTTTTCTTATCTGTCCTATAGATTAATTTCATGGAAGAGGAAAATGTACATTTCTGGAACAAAATGATTGTTGTTAACAAAAGGATTAGAACATTAGTATGCATGAGCATCTTTAGGTTTTTATCTTTTTTTCTGCCTGCAAATGAATATATAATAAAAAAGGAAAAGCCTATATGAGCTTTCATTATATGACCCTTAAAATTCCCTTTTTATCTTTATCAATTTATTTTATATTCAGCTGCTTATTTTTGAGCATCTCTGGGTCAAGGATTTCCTGAGACATGGTAATGTATCCTGTGGTACTCCTAAAATAATTTTCCTAGAAAAACTTTTATTAAATAACCATTTTGCCACTCTAAAATGAAACTTTGGTAAATGCTTGTGGAAGTCTAACCTGAAACACCAGCTAATAAAGAATGGACTGAAATCAATTGAATCAAATTAATTAAATAAAATTATATAAGTAGTTGTATACATTGGATACTAGAGAGGATTTTTTATCAAAGAGAAAATAAAACTGATAAAATTCCAAATAGAAATGTTCAGAGAAGCAGCATAGATTTTCCCCATATTATTAGTCTTTGTCCACTAAGACTAATATGGTATTTAGAAATGTGAAAATATAAAATATTTAGCTTTCCAAAACTCCGTTCTGTTACTGTTATTCATCTACACACACACACACACACACAATACTTACATATATATGTAAACACCTGAACACAAAGCAGGAACTCACTAGTTTTACTTAACTGTTTCAATAATTTATAAGCTTTGACCGTACTAATGAATCACTTATTTCCCTAACATTAGGATTTTTGTCAGTTTATTTTACAAAGATTTTCAGTAGTTTGAAAGTCCTAAAAATGATTGCTTCTTGCTATTGTCTTTTTCTCCATGGTTTACAGACATGGTTTAAAATGACAGGGTTGTTCTCTAATAGAGTATAGAGAACGACCACGATTTATTGAGCTTTGCAAGGTGAAAGAGAAAATTGGCATCAGCAAGCATAAATTCCCAAGTAGTAAATTCCCACAAAGTAGTACAGCATCAAAGTGGTTCAGCCACATTTATATTCTGTTCACTCTGAAGTGAATTTTTTCTAGAGCATTAATGTCAACATTTACAAATTGAGTCCCTATTCCTATGAAGTGATCATTTCTGATTAATTCCATTCTCATAAGACAGTATTTTTTTCTGGAACATTGATGTTTCCCTTTTTCAAAAGTAGAAGAATAAAATCTGATAGTTAAAAATTTCTATCGACCCTATGATCTTTTACAGTGAGTCTTTATGGATGTTAGTGAAATTTTAAAATGCTGTTAAAAAGAAAGCAAGCATAAAAACATCAGTGTACAACATTTTGAGATTCTTTTTATTTGCTCTCTCTGCTTCTAATTGGGTCCTAGTTAGGACTTAACAGTTCTATGGCATGGAAAGTGTTCTGCTTGCATTAGAGAGAGGTATTGTTCTGTGTGTCACATTCGTTGTTACTGTAATTAATACATTCTTACATCAGCTTTGTTATTTTTGCTCTACCTGGGATTTATTTTTAAAATATTAGTAGTAAGACAGGTTAGTTACATTACTAACCAAGATGCAGATCATTCCAGCAAAAACCATATTGTCTTCCACCAAAAGAGACTTGAAGCAGTTGGATTTCTGGATGGCTGTTTCAAGTGAGAACTTTCCCACAAGTCTTATTTTTGCCTCAGAAGATGTTGCCTTTTCATTTAGGTGATGACTGAAGCCTCAGTTGTATGCCTTAATAAATAGAAAATAGGGGGCTCCCTGTTGGTGAAGGGATTAGTTTAGGATTAATCCGTAGCCATTGTGGCACAAATTCAGTCTCTGGCCAGCCAGCTGACCCACACGTCTTCTGTCTTGCCAGCTGCTCCCCTCAGCTGTGTATTTCAGTAGATCTGCCTGTTCTGCTTTCCACTCTATCTCTGGTGAATCCTCTCCCCCCATGCACACTGCTGGCCTATACCCCAGTTCTTGTATGCATAAATAAATAAAAGTCTTTCTTAAAGATTAAATAAATAACTAAATAGAAGAAAATAGCAAAAGGTCTGTGATATGTTTGACCAAATTTCTTAGTTAATTGACAAAGCACCATCATATTGATTGATGGAGTGAAAAAGTCTGAGACTCGGGATAGTGAGAGTTTGGGTATTTATCTAGCCTGCCAAACACCCATCTCTGTCAAAGACTTAAGTGTTTTTCACTATAAAATGACAAAATAATATCTATTCATAGGGTTATTGCAGAGGTAATAGGAATTAATCCATTTTAGTCTTAAAGAAGTTCCTGGCACGTAGTAGGTACTCAGTACATGGTAGCTGTTGATGTGGTGGTGGTTAATATATGAATTGAGTTTTCTTCTTTCTTTTCTTTTCTTTTCTTTTTTAAAGATTTGTTTATTTATACATAAAAGAGCTGGATACAGGCCAGAGGTGTTGGGCAGGGTTGGGGGTGAAAGATTTTACCAGAAATACAATGGGGAGCAGAACAGGCAGATCTACTGAAATACACTGCTGAGGAGAGCAGCAGGTGAGACAGCAGAAGTCTGCTGTGCCATGTGAGTCAGTTCCTTGGCAGGGGATGGAGCTTGTGCTTGCAGTGGCTGTGGAGAGCTTCATTGTGTTGCTCTTTAACCCATTGTGCCACAAAGGAGGGCCCTAAATTGAGTTGTTTTCTAATGTTTGGTTTTCCCCTAACATTTTTTACTAGCTGGCATTGTATATTTTTTGTTTATTACCTGTCTTCCCAACTAGAATGCAAGCTCCTTGAAGGGAAATGGCTTTGTGTGCTCATTGCTATATCGAAAGAACATACCTGGCACTCTGTTGGCACTCAACAGTAATTCATCAACTGAATAAGGAGAGGAGAGGAGAGGGAGAAAAGGAGAGGAGCGAGGAGAGGAGATGAAACTTCTCTGGCTTCAGGTCAGAGTTATTTGGGTGTCTTAATCACCCGTTTCTGGAGGATGGTGCAGCTTCATGTGGCCTCCTTGACTTCAGTGCTTCAGGTGCAGCACTGCACAGAGCAGTTCTGTTCAGATATTGGTGAAGGAGTAATTGATTAAAATTGACATGGTCTTAGATGTTTCATTTCCAGATATCTTCCTGTGATACAAACATCTCAGTGACATATTTTGCTTTTTCCTTATATAAAATCAGACAGTATAGAAATTTATAGAGCATATAAAGTGAGCAAACTTTTTTGGCCCTTAAACTTTAATAGTGAAGACAAACATTTGGGTTCTCTCTCAGTTTTTTGTTTTTTTTTTTTTTGCAGTTTATGCATCATTTTTATTTCTCCCAAAAATTCATTTAAAATTCTTATGTTTTAAAGGTGAGTAGATTTGACACAGTGACGTTTATTTGAGTTGTATTATATATGCGGTCAGAGCAATGAATTCATTCTCTGTTTATATCAGAGAACATTCCAGCAATTGCAAAGTCACATGCATGCATGCGCATACTCTCGAACCACATCCAGTGGCAAGTTATTATGGGGACTGACAGACTGTCATCCTTTTGATGGCTTGAGCTGTATATCTCCTGAACAGCAATGGGGCTCTTATGCAGAAAGTATCATATGTTCCCAGCCAATTTACAGGGAAACAGCAATAACATTTTATCATGGTTGAGAGCCCAGTAGCTGCTTCCTATTAAACTTGCCCTTTCAGATACCTGTCTTGGATTAATTTGTTGATTTCAAATGGAAACTCAGTCTTCTCCAGTGAAGCATGACGTTTTAGGATAGACTCTCTGAATGACAATTACTGTGTATTCTAGCTGGTTTCAGACCATTACAAGCCTTGGGCACAGTGGAAGACAGAGGACTTCAGTAACTGATTTTAATATCGTGTCTAATTTCAACTGTCAGTTATATATGTGCCAGTGAAAGAATCCTCAGAAAGATGAAATGCAAAACACTTCTAACTTGCTCTTTTTAATGATGCACTTTGCTGTGGGGGGTGGGAGAGTGGGAGGAGGAAAAGCACAGAGGGAGAGGCAGTAGGCATCTCCTAGAGGGAATCAGCATGGCAGACAGGGGAAGCATCAGATCTGAAAAGTGAGCACATAACAACCACCACTTTTTTTTTAATTTTTTGGTCTGCCCCTCAGGATGCTTCTAAATAGCAATATGTTCACCAAAAAAGGGTTCTATAATTTTTTTAACATACAAGAAAAATAAAATGTGGGGTTTTAAAAAGGATAATAAGCTTTACTCATCATTTTGGTATTATGGATAGCGTGATATTCCTTAGCTGTAGAGACTGTTGTGAGTTCCTGCTGAGTGTAGCTTGATAGATTATAAAGAGGAAGTAACTCTGCTGCCTTAAATGTCATAAGCCATTTCAAGAAAATGTCTAAATTAGGAAGCCCCTAAAGTATATTTCAAATGGAAGGGAGAAGTGATATTCTGGGGTCTTCAAAAATATTCCCTGCTTAAGAAATACATTAGACATACACATCCTTGATCATTTATGCTTCGAGAATATTTTTGCAGTTACAGCACATTAACTAATTGTTAATTTGTGATTTTACATTTCACAGTTATTCCCTAAGCACATTGGCTTTATCTTTTCCCAAGTCTTCTACAACATTATAGTGATATTCTGATCTTATTTAAAGGGGGAAAGAAAACATCAGGAGCAACTGTACGTGCAACAAAACTTAGGTCTTTATAAAAGAACGAATGAAACTGCTGGCTTTCTTCCCAGCAGGTTACATTTGAACAGAATATGTGATAGCTGACTTCAGTCCAGTTTTTTGTATCTGTTAAAATCTGTAGTAAAAGAAAAATCCTCATACAGTGGCCCATCTTGTGAATTAATATACATTCACGTACATGGGATAGTAGTCCTTGAGCCACAGCTACTCCTGAAGAACCTGGTCACATACCAGTTGCATTACATGTTGAGTCCATACAGATCCTGGCTCTGACCTCCTTCCTCTCCTCTATCAATGGGAAAATACTCTATAGGTCAAAATAACTGAGATTTTGAAATAAACAGACATATGTTTTAAATGCACAAAATAAACAACAACTTAAGCATGCCAAATACCTCAATTTAACATTTGTATGTGTCTCTTTTCAGTCCTTATTCTGAAAGAGATTGGTTTTAAAGCTCTTGTGACATTTGGTGTATGAGTTCTTTGTTTAATAAACTGCTTGGTATAAAGTTTTATCAGAAACTTGATTCAGTGGTACTTAGCAAAGCTGTGCTTCCCAAACTGGGGTAAAAGACTGAGAATCAAAGTAATGCAGCATTTTGATTCTATTTTTTTCTGGATCCACATTGAACAGCCGTTTATGCCATCAGCGCAGTGATAGAACAAATGATGTTTCCGCTTGGGCAAGCTTTGTTTTATCAGGATCAGTAACCTTATCAGCAGTTGACCCAGAACTATAATGCATGTCTCTGAATAGATAGCATATGTCACAACTCTCTGCAGACTTGCTTCATAAGCAAGATTGTCTAATGAAGATTTAATAAATAAGAAAAAGTTTGCAGCCAGAAGTGTCCTCTTATAATGATAACTTCTCCTAAGCTCGCATTTATCCTCATATGCTAAGAGAATAAACATACATATAAATGCATCCACATGGGCTTTCATGACACATAGTTTATCTGTCAATATTTTTTTCTGAAATGTATCATTCGTGAATAGAGAATGCAGAATTTAGATCATCGTGTTGGTTTAAGGTTCTTATGTGACACATAAATGCAATAATGTCCAAAACCCATGTGTGTGATAAACCAACAGCACTTTTTTGTGCAATTAATGTATTGTTTCTTAAAAATAGGATAGTGCAGAGCGTTTTTTCTCAGTGCAGAATGGCCTGGCTCAGGAATGTTTAGTCACTAACCTTTACTACCCTATAATTTTAGATTGGATTCTTCACTCCCATCAATCTGCTTTGATTTCTGAAGACATATAATAAATGAAGAGAGAAGATGGAGCATCGTCCTACGTAAATAAGTCACGCATGACTTGTACATTTTGACATTTAACACTTATTTTCTCTGACCTTTGACAGGTTAGGGCTTGACCCAAAACTACTGGCTAAAATTTTAAATATGAGCTCAGGACGGTGTTGGTCAAGTGACACTTACAATCCTGTACCTGGGGTGATGGATGGAGTTCCCTCAGCTAATAACTATCAGGGCGGATTCGGAACAACACTCATGGCTAAGGTATAGTAAATGCAGACTGCTCAAGAGAGAGGGGAACACAGTTTAATGGGCTCTTTCTTCTCCCTCCTTCCCCTCTCTTTCTCTCCTCTTCTCCCCTTTTAACAAAGCATCTGTCCATCTTAGAAGGCAAGATTACAAAATGGTAATTTACCTACTCACTGGAAAACTTAACATAGATAAAATCCTTATCTTGTTCATTCTTGGCCTTTTAGGTAAGAAGAATAGGCTGGGATTTTTCTTTAGTGCTTGGGGTTGGTTTGCATTATAAGCTGGTAAAATTTTGTTCTTCTTTATAAATGTACATTAATTTTACCAAGTTCTTGGAATGGAAGCAGTATGGATTTTCTGATGGTTCATAAATTGCACATTGAAAAAAAATGATACATGGACCAAAAAAGATCTTTCTCATGCTATTAAATATTTCTTCCTGCTTTAATAGTTTATGCATATTTATGTTAAAGACATTTGAGAAGCAAATTGCCAGCCTGCTCTTATTTGTTAACTTTAGGAAATACTTTTTAACAGACTGTCTCATATTTCTGCATAGAGCTTACTTTTCCTCTAGTTGACTTTTTCTTTTCAATTACAAAGTAGTAATACATAACACCTGGATCCCATACCATACTTAGCTTTCTCTCCTTCTTTCTTTCTTTCCCTTGATGTTCTGTCCATTCTACTTCTCAAATATTCTTTTTTTTTTTTTCCAGTTCCCTGCTCTGCCACCTGCAGTACCTGGACTTTGCCTTGTTTAGCTCACACCCTTCACTCACCTCCCTGCCATTCACGCTAATTTTTCCAGTTGATTTTCTAAACCATGGCAAGCCTGTGCTTCTGAAAATGTAAATGCTTGATAATGTATTTTCTCTTATTAAGCATTTTTCATGGTTTCTAATTATTTGTAGAAGGAAGTTCGTCCCTGCAGATCGCCTTCCAAGACCCTTCATAATTTGCTCTTTGCTTGTTTCACCAGCTCATTTGTGCCTTTCCTCGTCCATCTCTGCTTCAGACATTTCTGCCTGTTATCTCTCACCTACAAACCACCACATTTGGGGTTCTTCTGCCTGGATTACTTTCCTTCCCTTCACTTCTCAGCCCCCTAACTTCAGGCATATTGTTAGTACAATTTAAATATTTACTAGCAAAAGCAGTGTTTAAAACCATGCTTCTTATTTTGCATTTTTACTTTTCCATTAAAAATACTTATTTTTATGCCTTCAATACCTTGTACTTAGGTTTGCCTATCTTCCACTTGGACTTTCATAACTCTGCTGTGCAGCTGTTGTTAGAAACAGAAAGGTGCTCCTTAGATAAGTTGTTTTCATTAAAACTGCAGGGTGACTTGGAAGAATGGAAGAACGACATTTGTGCCCAGTTTCCATTATGTATCTGTAGGCAATGGGTTGTAACCTGTTGGCTTATTTGGTTCCTAAAATAACTGCTTTTGCTTTCCTTGTCACTTCGCGCAGCACTCATGCCCTTCCAGGGAAGCCTTTTTCTAACACTTTGGGGTTAACAACCCACTCAGGCCTTATTAGACTAATCATCATCCTTCTCTTTTTAGAACATCCCTCCTAAAATGTAACAATCACCAAAGCCATTTTAATTTCCCCTTGTTGGTTTGTTAGCTTGTGTTGGGGGTATTTACTTGCCCCTTTGGAAAATTCTAATAAACTTCTCTAGATAGTGTTGTCTGATCCACAGCCTGTTATGCTTAGTCTGAAGTTTTATATTCTAGTTTTATTACCGTCTTAAAAAAATCAAATGCACTTTCTATATAAATTTTCTGTCATTTAAGAACAAGTGCATCTTACAGATGTGCTCTAAAATGATGTCAACAAAAGATGTTTGTCTGTTGTCAATATATAAACACTAAAGTAGTTGTCCACATTTTTTAAGTGTGTGTGTAATAATTATACATGCTTTTTAGTGAAAGCTATAGATGCACTTAAAATTAAGTAGACTTTCCAAGTCTGTGTGTTCACATGTGAAAGTTACATAAAAAGGCCACAAAATGTTTACAACTGTAGTGCCCTATATGTTCGAGAGGCTAACGATTTAATTTATTCTTTAAATGTTTAGTTTTTCTTTGAATCATTTTCCCCTTTGAGTGGAATGAAGGTATCAATAACTAGCTGCTCAGTTGTCAAGGGTGTTCTTCAAAGAATAGACATTCCTCATCTTGCTTTTTGTCTTCCTCTTTCATTGCTTGGTGGGTTAAATCAGGGTGGTAATGGTAAGAAGAAAATTTGTTTTTGCCGCTTGTTTATAGCTCATATAAAAATCATATATATAATAAAATGTGGGATGGAGGCATACTGTTTCAATATCCATGACTTCCATTTATCTCAGGGATTTCAAGTTATCTCAGGGATTCAAGATTCCATTTTATGGTGGTGAATATCCATTAGCTACAGTTTAAAATATAGAGATGTATAACATTAACTGTTCTCTACTCTTAAGTAGCCATAAGTTTTCTGAAACTCTGAGGATGAGAATGAAGATCTCTGAGTGTTAAAGAATTATTATAATGATGACTGTTCCATTGCACTTACAATAAAATCCAAGCTCCTTACCTACATATGTTAAAACTTTGCATTTTACTTCTCCTGGCTCATTTCTACCTTGAGTTTCTTTGTTCATTCAAGTTCAGTTTCATTGGTCTTCTTTACTATATTTTGATATCCAAGGCATGTTGCACTGCAGGGCTTTGACTTGCTGTTCCAGCTGTCTGGAACTCATTCCCAGCTCTGCAAAGATTTCACTGCTCCTTAACATTCAGATCTTGGTGTCTTCACCTCAGGGAGGTCTTCCCTAAATATTTCATCTATTACAACTCTTTTCCTTTTATCCTCTCCTGTCTACCCCTTACCTTCATTATTTTTTTCCTTCTACCCCTTACCCTACTTTATTTTTTTTCAGAGCACTTGCACTATCTGAATTGTTAGTATTTATTTTGTTATCTACCCTCCCCGTAGACTGCAAGTCTCATGAGAAAAGTGTCTTGGTTTTATTGTGACAGTATCACCAGTTCCTAGCACAATGCCCAGCACACAGCAGTTGCTAAATAGCATATTGAACAGATGTATAGTAATTCCATAATGGGGTTTGTCTTAGGCTTATATGTTTCTGCAGATTTGAAAAAGAAGTTCTTTGTTTGAATTCATGTGTACAGTAAGCCCTGTTCAAAGTTAAAACACTAAAGTCTTGCCAGAGATTGGGCACTCAAATCACAATTTCTGTCTAGAGCAATCTTGCAGCTTTAGGAAAGCACTTCTGAAAATGTGTTTGTATGTATATGTGTCTATAACTTACCATAGTACTTGTAGTGCTCTCACTTTTTCAGACTTCATTTTTCCCTCTTTGAAACCAAAACATTAGAAACCATAGTTCCAATGCAGATCTTAACTACTGGTCTCAACGTGTTCCCTCCTGCCCTTGTTTGGTTTAGGACCTGGGATTAGCACAAGACTCAGCTACCAGCACAAAGAGCCCCATCTTGCTGGGCAGTCAAGCCCATCAGATCTACAGGATGATGTGTGCAAAAGGCTATTCAAAGAAAGACTTCTCATCCGTGTTCCAGTACCTTCGAGAGGAGGAGACTTTCTGAGTTTGCCCCTGGGCTCTGAACAGTTGGAAACCACACTACCTTGGAGCCTCCTTACAGCTCACTCCACAAGTAAATGGGTTTAATCAAAGGTCATCTATCTACTTTTGATTGTCTAGGCCACAGGGAACCCTAGGATTACTCACCCATTTTTAACTATTTATCCTTTTTATCTGTTTAGCAGACATATAGTATCTGAATTTTTATTTTCTTCCAGCCATTGATGGTCTCTGCTGTTTAATCTTTTTCAAAAGCTTGATTATTGAGCATCTTCAAGTCAGTCAATCAAGACATTATTTACGCCACTTTACAAAAAGAGCAGTTATTTTTCCAGTAGGATGGAACCTATCTTAAAGGAAAGAAAAAAAATTGGCATGAGGGGCAGAGTTAGAGAAAGGGGAGATGTAATGGGTACTACCCGTGTTTCTCAGCCGTCCCAGGCTCAGCTGTCCTGTTACCTAGCAGAAGTTCTTACATCACCAGTGTGTTTTCCAGGGAGTTGGTAAAGCAAGAGAACTCCTTGGACTCAGCTGCAGCGTCCCAGGCTGCCCTCTCATCACAACTCTTAGTAGTCAGCAGAGTTGCTTTGTAAGTTTTTTCTTTCTTATACATTCACACTACATATTTTTGACTTTAAAAGAATGACATCTAGAGATCTATTTCAGAGCCAATGATATTTGCTTTAGATAATTATTACATTACTCTGAATATAACCAGATTATTTTCAATTCAAATAAATTTCTATGCTGATAGTACTTTTTGGAGGCTTTTTTTCTCCCCAAACATTAAATGATCAGTCACATGGTCTGACAAAGTGGTGTTACAGGCTAGTAGGGGGAAATGATGGGAAGAAAGGGATGGGGAGGGAAGGGAGGTCACAAGGAGCTGAATGCTGAACTGGCCAGTGGCAGTCCAGCCTCCTGCTGCTCTGCCTGAATCCATAAATGGCATTTGTTGGAATGCCCGTCCAAGTTGAGGGTGCTGCAGGAATTCAGCTTCATTAGATACAATGTACCTTCGTATTGACCATTGCTGCCACTCTCCCTGCCTCAGACTTTAGAAATATTCCAGGTGATATTCCTGGTCACCAGATTTGGCAGAAGTACTACTACGTCCATTATTTTCCTGGTGATGAAAAACTCTAGTCACTATTACAAGTGCTGCAACCATGGCAATGAACAAAACAGACCAAATCCTGCCCTTGTAGACTATAAATTCTGGTGTGCTTGTGTGTGAGTGGGAGGGGGAGTAACAGACAAGACATAGATGTGTACCGAACATAGCAGGTGATGGTGAGGCCTGAAAGGAAAAATAAAGCAAGATAAAAGGGATGATGGGGTGTGCCGGGGTATTTTGTAAGAATTTGATAGGACATTGGCTTTCACTCCATGTAAAACAGGCGATGTATATCAGTATCCTTTTGCAGAAGCTAACTGATATATTGCCATCCTCAGAATTTAGTGTTTATTATTTTCCATATTCTGTAGATTGGCTATATTCTTCTGCACTCTGTCAGTTCATGTGGAGCTAGTGGGTCTTGTTTGACCTCCCTTAGCTAGGACAGCTGGAATGGTTGGGGCTTTTCTACATGTGGTCACTCAACCTCCAAGAGACTAACCTGAATTTGTTTCCAGAGTGGCAGGAAGTTACCAGCAGCAACACAGTCCCAGCAAAAGAAGTACTTTTCAACCTCTGTTGCAAGTTATGTAGACAGGCCCAAAGCCCATACAGAAGGGGCTCAAATGAGGGCCATGTTGGTGGCCAGTTATCAGACACCCTAGCACAGTCAGTTCATGGAAAATTTTATTCAGAGGATTGATGTAGTCTGACCTACTTTTTTCTTTTTTAATTTTTTTTTGTTACAATAGTTTATTTTTACATCATTTTGTGCCTTTTTCCATCTCAGTTGTAATTCCCATGGTGATGGCACATGGGTGATTTGGTGATGGTGTGTGCCGGGGTATTTTGTTAGAAATTTCCCATCACCAAATCACCAAATCATTTGTGTGTCATCACCATAGTCCTGTGCACCCCTCCATTTTTGATCCCATTCCTCACTTCACCCCCCAAAAATGTCTCTGGTATATAGTTGTTCCTGACCTACTTTTTAATGGGGTCACTCTGGTGAGAGTAGAAGCAAAATCAGTTAGGAATTGATTGTAATAATCCAGGTGAGAAATAGTGGTAACTGGGACCAGAGTATTAACAATAGTGGAGGCAGGAAGTCGTCTGGTTCAGAACATAAAAGATAGCCACTAACTGATGAAAAGGGGTGAGAGAGAAAGGAGGATGACTTTAAGATTGGTGAAGACAGTGGAAGAAAGGAGTTACTGCTTACTATGTGGTGACAATTGTGGAACATGGATTTGGGGAGGGTTGTAAAAAGGTTAGAAGAAAAATATCAGGAGTTTATTTGAGATGCCTAACAGATATTTCCCCTCTGCCTTTATCGCTTCTGGTTGTTAATCTCCGAGTCTCAGGAATTACCTAGCCTTTGTGTTTGCTGGTTTTCCTACCAACCTCAGAGCCCTTGAAGGGCACAGTTCAGCTCCTGGTTCTGAGTAAGAGCTCAGGAAATTTGTGAGTGACACCTTGAGCAGAAGCTACACAAACTTTGGTCTTTAAGAGACTCCCATGGCAGATAGGTTTGTTTTACTTGAGCGTTCTAAACTATGCAGTTTGATACACAACTACTTGAGGAGTTTTGCAAGGTGTGTATCTTTTTACAATGTTCTTAATCAGAGGGATAGCTTATGCTCTTTGACTAAAGCAACTTCTGAGGGCAAAATGTACATTTTTGGTAGTAGGCCTTAGTCTCATTTTTCTGTGCTTTAAACATCAATTTGTGTGCAGATAAAAGCACACACTCACTTCCCTTTTGTAACATGCTGCCTAGACCTTGAGGCATAAGGTGACTCTCATAACAGTGCAAGTTTGATTTATTCAAAGGGTTCTATGAATAGTTAGGTGTTTGAGAGATTCTTTTGCTATTCTGTTGACCTGACACCATGATAATGGAGCGTGTGTTCAACCACAGCAGAGTCCAAATTTGAGTGAACCCCAAATGTGCTGGGCCTGTTCCCCAGCCATTCTCATTGAATAGTTCTGATCTTGTTTTCTAAGCCATTAGAGATGAGTGTGATCTCTACGCTTCTGATGGGGAGCTGAGGAGTAGGGGAGAGAGGCAAATCTGAGCAGAGTACAGGGCTGTGTTTCCAAGTGCATAAATTCTACCCGGGTTACTGTCAAAAGCCTGCTGCTGCTCAGGAAAACAGCACAAGTTACTAGCAGCCTCAGCAGCAATAAGTGCCCCCTAGAGCATTCTCAAATGGTCAGGCGATGGGGAGTCATTTGCCCGAGTGGGGTTTTTAGCCATCTTTCAGTTCAATTGAAGAGGGAGCTTAAGGATATCATAGGGATTTGTAACGTTCCTTGCAAGGTGTCAGACCCATAAACCAGCATGTCCGTTGCACTGATGCGCACTTGGAATCGTCTCTCATTGGTGGCAGAGAGATTGAAGATGACCTTTTACTATTTAATTGTATTCATCATTTAATAATTCAAGAATACCTAAAAGGGATGAAGGCTTCTTCATTCAAACGAGAATTAGACTCTCTTAGAACACGAATAGGAAAATACAGTAAAGCAGAAGCACTTTGCAACCAGCCCGCAGGGAGTGCTTTCCCTGTGTTGGTTACCAGATCTGTCTCTGGCTGGGAGGTGGGAGACCTGCTTCTAGTTGAAGGTCCAGCGCCTCGGTAACCCTAACTGTGGTGTCTTCTTTCTTCTTTCTAAAACAGGGGTCTGCATGGATCTCCAAGGTTTATTTTCACTTTAAAATTCTGATTGCTTTTAGTTAAGAGTTTCGGAAAATGGGAGGCATGTGCTTTTGACAGTTTTTGGACTCTCTCTGAATAAGTATTATTTATTGCTCATATAGTCATCTCATTTATTAAGATTTTTTTTTATAGTTGGAATAGATTCAGAGATCAATACATTTTTATTAATGATAGTCCGTCATGCCTGGTAAAGAGATGGCAAGAGAGCTCATCTAGAATGAGCCACTTGAATAAACCTGACACACAAGCTTAGCTCCAAGCTGCATTTTGGCAGGCCTCTCTGTAAAATAATGACATTGGCAGAGGCAGAGACTATGGAAACCTTCCTCACAGCCAGACTCATAAAACCAAAGGGCAGGTTTGGGGTGTGTTTCTCAGCCTTGGCTGTATATGCAAATCCCATGACTTTTTGAGTGTAGCATTTTATCTTCAAAAGGACAAAATTTGGCATTTGCAGTAGTCATTAAAAATGATAAATGCCTAAAATGCTTCAGAGTTGGGATTATTATAGGTTAGAACAAATATTGTTTCAGTACCAAACAGTATTTTAGAGTAGAAAACTTCTCACTGACATTGTCAAATCAGAATATAAAATCTTACATTATTTTCCCTTTAATCATTCGAAATTGGGCATAATCGTTGCCAGGTCCAGGCCTTTTGGAGGTGAATTACTTCTCCTGACTCCATTAAGAGATAGCCTTGTGCCCTGAAAGAGTTAATTTGCCTCCAGATGGAGCTTTTCAACCCTTCAGAGCAGAGTTCAGATGATATCAAGTTCACAATTCTTTTACATTTGTTTTGTACCTGTTGACCTTCATTCTCATTCCGTTTAAGGGCAGAATTTGAAATATTCTAAGGTTATTTTAGTCTTATGAAAGCCTTTTCCAGAAAATTCACCTTAAAGTTTCAATCTCAGGGACCCTAAGTGTAAATGTAGCTTTAATCCCGGTCTCTCTCCTCTTAACGACCTTAACCCTGACCCGAGGCCTGCTCTCTATAAGTGCCAAACATGATTCATTCTCCTTGCTTGGTTTAGTTTTGTCCCTTTAATGAGCCAAGATGACCAGGGAGACCTGATAGCTTATTTGTGCTAATGTAAGTATGCTCTGCTAGTTGACTCCTAACTCATTTATTTGGCGTTTACTTTTGTCTAGAATTGACCCTTTGTCTCAGAGATGAAAAGTCCATATTTTAGACAAAGAAGATATTAACAGTTAACATTAGCAAGCAAATCAAGAGACATACTTTGAAAGATAAGCCAACTGCTGGCACAAGGGAGACAGTCTTTATATTTTGTGCCTCAACTGCCATATTATAAATATAGTATAAATACTCATTGGAAACATTTTTTTATCATGTAGTTACAGCCTGATGTGTTGCTGTTAATGGCCTCTTTCTCTTTCCCAATTCTGGGAAGCATAGTGTAGCCAAGAGACTTTTTTTGTGCTTGTGAATTTGTGGTCTGAATGTCTTCTTTCTCTAGTCTCTATAATTTCTGATACTCTTTGTGTGCAGGAATGCTTTTGTTGACTTGGTGTTTAAACCGCATCATCTGATTTTTTTTTTTCAAAGTTGCAGAGGCAGAACTGGGCCATCAAGGACGCTTAGAAGGTGATAAGCAGGAAGAGACTTTTAAAGAGATTTATGATGGGTTTATTTTCCCTATTGTCTAGCTTGCCACTTTCAGCTCAACTCATTTTGAGTTGGAAAGGGTCTGTCCATGGGTTTCTGACAAATGTGTTTGTATCCCTGGGAATTTATGCTTGCTTCAGTTTCAAAAAAAGAAAAATGAAACCAAACTATTAAAAACTGATAGAACTTTGAGCAGCACTTGCTCCCCGATTATGGCCTTTCCTGGCCATCCCATTTAATTTCTGGCTGGTCCAACTGGTGACAGTAAAAGCTGCCCT